AATTGATGTAATTTTGACAAAATGCTAAATTATGACCTATTATTAAAATTATTATTAATTTGCTAAAACTAAAAATCGGACTTTAAGCCAAATTTTTGACTTTTTGCTAAAGTGCAAGTATGACCTATGGGGTTCTATCTACCTCTACTTTTATTTCTTTCATTTTCCCGGGCTTTAGGACTTCTCTCGGCTAAAATCACGCTAGATTCTTTCACACTTGAACCTTTCTATAAGGTGCTAGAAGAGTCTATTGTAGATCTTTCGCTTCCGGCGTGTCTGTGGCGATTTTAGAGTAAAGTTCTCTTCTTTTTGATTCATTTATTACTTTAGGTTCTTCTAACGACAATTTAAAATAAAGTTTTCTTCAGTCTTGGCTTTGCAAAGACATTCTTACGATGAATAGACTTTGTTTAAGATCTTTTACTGATCTTGGACATATACTACGAAGTTTTGGCACAAGATTTGTAGATTTTGTGTTTCCAGAGAGTCTTTCGAGTAAGGTTTGCTACTTTCGCATATCTTTAGTTCCGATTTCAGTTATATATATATATATATATTTTATACTGATCTTGTTTCTATTTTCTCTTTCTGGTTTCTTTTTATTATAGGAGCTTTATTACCAACTTATTTTCGGGTCCAGGCAAGGTTTTGTGTCGCTTCAGATCTTTCAGGTCTTTTGACTTTTCTTTATGGGTTTTCCACCAGACCGAGTCCCATTTACTTCGTTCTCAATTTTTTAGCAGCCTACTGGCTCGTCTTGGGTTTTTTGCCAATCTTGAAGTGTTGCTGAAAAGTTTTATTCCATTTCGTCGACACATGTATTTTAGTTTTTCCAGTTCTTTCATTTTGTTACCAGACTAGATCAGTTTCTACGTATCTTTTGGTCTTTTACTTTTTACATTCCTCATTATGTTCCGTGATTCTTTATTTTTTTATTTTTTTTTTTTGTATATATATTTTCATTTTTTTACCGATCTTTTAGCATTTCCGGTTTTCGCTCTTGGATTTTCAAACAAGTATTTCAAGATTCTCTACTCATTTTACCAGGCCAGGCTATCTTTTTTAGTAAGTTGTTCGGTTGTTACTCTTTAGTTTTACCGATTTGTTTTTCTTAAATCTCAAGATCTTGTCGGTTGAGTTCTTGGAGCAATTTGGAATTCTTTTTCAGTCTTGACTAACTATTTCTTTTGTCTTTCTTTCTTTTCCAGCTTTCAAGGTCCTAGTTTTGGTGGAGTAACTTTTTCTTGAAGACATTTCCAGACCAGCTGGATTAGATCTTGAACTTGTCATTGCTATGGTTTAACGTTGGAATTCTATCTGGGTCTTCAAAAGGCAAATATAGAGCCCAAGTACTGTTAGTTATTTGTTTTGTTCATTTCTTACTTTATTAAAGTTTTTTTTTTTTTTTTTTTTGTTATATACTTGGCTAACAGTCTTTCTCTCTTGACTTTTCTTGTTTTTAGGTATTGCTAATAGTATGTATATGTCAGATTTATTATACTTTCACTATGGGCTATTTTTTAGAAACTTGTTATTCTTTTCTTGCATCACTATTATTATTTATACTGGAATTGAAGTTTTACAGAAACTTAGCGGAATCTAATTTTTGATCTAGTGCCATTATAAGTTGAATGTGAGGACTAGGTAGAATTGGACGGAATGTTCTTTGATTTAGGAAGACTTTGTAAGAAACTGGGTTAGATAATAGGGTCTTTCTTTTATTCAGGACTTCAGTCTAATTGTTTTTATTTTTATTTGGAAATGATTAGATAAAGAGCAATAGTGTGGTATAACGAATTCAGATGCCGTTTAGGTATTGTTTAGACAAGTATGGTTGATTATAGGCGTAAAACTTTTTAAACGGTATATCTTTTTTACACAATATGCTTTGCTTTATTGTTGTTATTTTTTTTTTTTTTTTTTTTTTTTGTATTTTTTTCTTACTGCTTCATAACTTCTTTTGAATTTGCTTTAGATCATTATGCAAATGGATAATGATGAAACAAGTCAGAACCAGACGTAGTTAGTATATAAGATCATATAAAAAAAGCATAAATTTATCTGGTGTGGAGCCGGATCTCTTGCAATATAGGTTATACCTTTATTTTTTCCGGTGGATGTGGAGAATAAAAGCATCGTGACTTAAGTCACGATGCCTATATTCTCCACATTCACCGGAAAAAATAAAGGTATAATCTATACTGCAAGAGATCTGTGAAGCCATGTAGAATTAGACTTGGAACCCAAAAAAAAAAAAAAAAAAACTTATTGGAGCAGTGTATCTTTTTTCTATACTATATGTCTTTGTTTTTGTTATTGTATTTGATTCTATTATACTAATATTTCTTTAGGGGCAGAATATTGTAAGTAGAACGGAGCATAAAATCGTTAAGCAAAATATAGAAACGTAAATGTATGAATTAGGTATTAATATGAGGAATGATTATTATTATAGAATCGGGCAGAATGATATTATGCGAAGTGTATAGGTTAAGCAAAGTGTATGGGGACATAAATGTATATGTCAAATTATAAATTACAGGACTTTTAGTAACAGGTGTATCCTTTTTGTATGTATCATCATGTTTTTTGCTTTTTGTTAAGAGTATTTTATTATTGTGTTTTATTATTGCATTGTACTTTTATCCTTCTAATGTATTCTTTTTAAGATACAGGTTAAGTAGAATGCAAGAATATGAAGCAATACATATCGGGCCTTGGACATAGATGTATGGACGAGAACTTTGTAGAGCGACATATCCTTTTAATATGCATCTTTGCTTTGTTTTTCATTAATGTATTGTTCTATTAACGTTTCTTTTAAGGACAGAGCTTTTAGATAAAGAGATACGAGACGTGAAATGTATATTAAGCGAAGCATATAGAGATGGAAATACATGAATCGGGACATGAATGTGGATAAATCAGGATATTAGTGTAGGAAAACGATTCAGTATTATCCCTTAAGCTGTAGAGTTCGTATAACAATTTTAGCTTAAAAATAGCATAAATTTAGTTATGATTTATTTTTTT